TCAGCTAGAACAGGGTTGTGAGTAGGCAGACTTTGTAAAGGGTCAGACAGTAAATATCTTCAGCTCTCTGGCATGTGGCCTCTGTTGCAGTTACTCCACTTATCTCTAGTAGTACATGGAAGCAGCAAAGTAAGTAAACAGATAGTCTTGCATTGTTTTCTGCCTCTGTACAGGAACATGCTCTCTTCTTAGGCAAAGATTTGGATGTCTTTTGCTGGCAGGGCACATGGTGCTTAGTTTCCCAGGGCTGCTGTGACAAAATACCAAAAACCTTCAAGGCCGTCCTCTCTGAAACCTGTAGGGAAGGAGACTTCTTGGCTTCTCGCACCTCCTAGTAACCCCAGATGTTCCTTGGCTTTGGCAGCATAGACCCAGTCTTTGCCTCTGCCCTACATGGCCTTCTCCATGTCTCTTCACGTCATCTTCCCTCTTGCATGTGTTTGTTTTGGTGTCCAGATTTTCCCTTTTTATAAAGACACAGCCATGCTGGATCAGGACCCGCCCTGATGACCTTCTTTTAAACGGATTACTTCTGCGACAAACTTATTTCCTACTGAGCAACATTCTGAATTGTAAGGGATTAGAACTGCAGTATTCCTTTTGAAAGGAAACAGTTCAGCTCATCACAGCGCTTGATAAACGTGTGCTGAATGGATGGATGGATGGATGATCTGGACTAAATTATGTTTCTTTTTTACTATGTTATTTTTTATTTACACTTGTTTTAATATAATAAGCATTATTCTTTGCAAGCTCTTTCCTTTTAAAATAAACTTTTAAAATACACTTTAAATATTCATTCAGTCATTTGTTCTTTCCTGCATCTTTGTGCCTGTGTGTGAGGCTGTCTTTCTGAGTAAGACAGTCATGGCTCCTGCCCCTCCAGCCTACAATGTACCAGGTGGATCATGCATTTTCTTTTTTTTTTCTTTTATTGAGTTTTTGGGTACATTTTAGGTATGTAGTACAATTACATTCATTATTGGGATCTTGTACCTTTACATGACAGGTCATTTTTTTCCCCTTGTCCGTGGATCATGCATTTTCCATGCTGTATGACTTCTGTAGAAACTCAGTCACACACAAGCACAAGCCTCACTAGTAGTAGAATCACTAGAAAGAATAAAAATGACAACAGCAACAAAAATCACTGGCGTCACTTGAGTTTTCCAGAGCTGAATTTTGCCCTGGTATCTTGGGTCATGGAGCCCAAAGCATACAAGGTCTCATGTCGAGGCAGATCAGTGATGTTGGGTATTGCCATGGTGACAGTAAGGGAAGTACTCCTCTTGGGAACTTGACAGCATATCTTCAGAAGCCCTTCTTGTCTTCTCAAGCTGGTGAACATAGTTTGGCACCTTGGTATGGTCAGCCTTGGGAGGTCTTTTCTGATACTTAGTTCTCATGAGAAGAGGATAAGTTTGTGACCACTTTTTACATGACAGTTCAATTACCAGATTTCCTGATTCAAAGTCATTTTCTCTTTCTTTGCTTCCTTTTTTTTTTT